GGCTGGAGTGCAGTGGCGCGATCTCTGCTCACTGCAAGCTCCGCCTCCCGGGTTCACGCCATTCTCCTGCCTCAGCCTCCCGAGTAGCTGGAACTACAGGTGTCCACCACCATGCCCGGCTAATTTTTTTTGTATTTTTAATAGAGACGAGGTTTTACCGTGTTAGCCAGGATGCTCTTGATCTCCTGACCTTGTGATCCGCCCGCCTTGGCCTCCCAAAGTGCTGGGATTACAGGCATGAGCCACCGCGCCTGGCCTCTGCTCACATCTTGATGGCAGACTTCCAACCTTCAGAGCTGTGAGAGAGTAAATTTCTGTTGTTTAAAGCCACCCAGTTTGTGGCACTTCATCACAGGAGCCCCAGGAAATGAATGCACTGATTCAGCACCAAGTGCAGTAGCTAGCACTTAGAAAGTATCCCGTAAATGTACGATGTCTGCCGTCAAGGAACTTTCTGGGCACTAACATATATGACATTCACTTTTCCTTACTTCTAGGGTTGTCTGCATACAAACTTTCAATGTCTTTGGGCTTTTATATCTGTAGGGAGGCTATTCGATTTTGGGCTTTTAGAAACCCCATTGTTTCCTGGCTTCATGAAGTGTCCCTGGCATGACCAGGCTTCAGATGACTTCATAGGAGTATTTTTCTTCCTGTGTTGAGGTGTCACTACTGACCAGCCATGGGAAGAACATTCAGTAGGTCCCTAGGGAGACAGCAGCTTCCCTGACAGTGTCAGGCCCCAGGTCAGAGGATGCAGGGACCTAGACTATTGGGGTCCCCTCTTTCTCTTTTCCTGTAAACAGCAAACAGCTCCAGGGCCTGCCTTAGCCTCTGTTCAGAGCTCCCTGGGGCCTTGTCGACGTTCATCTGCTCACTCTAATGTCACTAGCAGGGAACTCATACGATTTCCACAACCTGGAAGGAAGCAGAGCAAAGTATCATAACATCCACTCCACAGATGAGGAAACTGAGGGAGTTTGTTCCAAGTCACATAGTTCACAAACGTCAGAATCAGACCTCAAGGGTGCAAGCTACCAGTACAGTTCTCATGTCCTGGACCTCATCCTGCCCCTCCTATGCCAAGAAGGAAGGCTCCCTGGAGGAGGGGGTACTTTGGGAGGGGGAATCTCAACAGGCTGGCTGTGTGTGTGTGTTTCCAGGCTTCTGCCCGGCAGCCAGCTTGCCCTTCACCATGAATCTCAGGGCTGGAGGGCCTCAGATGAGCACCAAAGAGAGGCTGAGGCTGGGCAGTGAGGCCTGGGAGCATGAGGGCAGTTCCTACTCCGGCTCCTTTTCTATCTTCTCATCCTGGCGCTGGCGGCTGTGCTTCCTTCCTCTCAGGGCAGGAACTGCAGCTGTGCCTTGACCCTGTGTTTCAGATCCATCAGGGAAGATAAGATTCCCCATGCTCAGCACCTGACCTTCTCTTAGCCCACCTGACGCTGGTTCCTGGAAAGAAAGCACCTGGCCCCGCACCAGCCCGGATGGGCACATAAAGGGAGCCAGGTGGTACCGGGGTGCCTGAGCTGTCTCACGGTGCTCCAAAATTCGAGTCCTAGATATCTGTGTTTAATCTTTCCTCGGAGAAGAAAAACTGAGCTTCCTCTGCCCCTATTATACACCCTGCCACTTCAGCCAAAGTCCAGTATCAGAGAGCAAGGACAGTGCCTTTGACATATTTGTGCTTTCAGGCTGTGGGCACACAAATGTTTGCTGAATTGAGTCTAAGATTCTCCCTTTGGGTGGGGCTGGCTCTACCAGGGGCGTGTTTTATGTGCAGCTCAGAAAGCAAAGCCCCATTCCTCTCAGCCAGGCCTACTGGGGCGGTGGGCCTGGGTGGGTTCTGAAGCCTGGGAGTGGGGAGGGCGTTCTCTGGAAAGGGGCCCAGAAGGCGCGGGCGCTCCGAGATTACAGTACCTGCGCTAACTTTTCCGCTCGGCTTCTTGCTCTTGAGCTTCTCCGGGCTAAGTCGGGTTCCCGGCAGGGGTCCCCGCCCCCCAGCCCAGCTCCCCGGCACCCGGGCAGCGACACAGCGCGGGGAGGCGGCCCAGCGCCAAGCTGGTCGGACAGGTTCTGAGCAGGAAGTCTCCCGCCCTCGCCCCGGGCAGCCGACCAGCCCCACGCCGGCCCCGGGCGTCCGTCGGTCGGTCCCGCGATCCGTCCGACGGTCCACCCAACGCTTGCGGCCTCGCGGCCCGGCCGGCCTGGGCTGCGATCAATGCGGCTTTGTCTGGGACGCCCACACCCCAGAGGCAGCTCCCGGGTCAGCAAATCGGAGCGCGGCCGGGGCGCGCGGGGGTGAGATAAGCGGCCATGTGACCCCACCTGGGCGGGCGGGGGAGGGGCGCCAGGTGAGGCGGCGGCCGGCGGGGCGCGGGCGGCCACGCGGGGCTCCTGCAGCATGGCTGTCAGCAGGAAGGACTGGTCCGCGCTGTCCAGGTGAGCGCCCGAGGGAGCTGGGAGGGGCGCGGGGTCGGCGGGGAGCTTTTGGGTCTCCTCTCCCCGGGAACCGGCCTCCTCTCCGCCTGGGACCCTGACACCAAGGCTGGACCCTGGTCTTGCTGCGACTCGCGGGAGACAGGATTGGGGCCAAACTCGGGGACCCTGAGGTTACAGGGTAGGTCTTCTCCCATCGGGGCCTGAGGTCCCACACAGGGTACTTGGGGGAAGGCTGGTCCCCAGTCTGGACGCCCCCTGGGGTATGGCCTCCCTGTGGAAGATGGAAGCAGGAAGGAACGTTTTGGGGGATTGTGGAGGTGTTCAGAGTAACCTCCAAGCCTCATTCCTGAGAGAAGTCTCCCTCATTCCTGAGTGTGTCTCCGGCAGAGAGGACCCCTAGGAGGTGTCCCACAGCCCCTCTTGGGAGGCGGAGGAGCAGGGAGAGCCTTCTTGGAGGGGTCAGTGAATAGGACTGGAGGGAAGCAGACCCATCTCCCACTAAGGAGGCTCAAAATCTCAGCATGGCATTTTGGGGTGGCATCTGAGCTGAGAACCTTAAGATAGTGTCCATCCTCATCTGTGCTGCTACAATATTTGTACACTGGTCTCCTAAAGGGTCAGGGGATGAGGCATCCTTTCCCTGCCTACTGGACATCCTATCAGGGTCCCAGAGGCCTGGGGAAGGTGGGTGTTCAGAAGGCGGCACCCCTCATAGAGATTGGTGACCTCTACTGACTTCTCTTGGAGCGACCCTGAACCTCTGCCAAGAAGGCCCCCTGTGAGCATTTTCACCTCATTCCTCCACTGGGCGCCTCCCTCCCCCATCTTGTCTCTAAGGAAACTGAGGCTCCTGCAATAGCTCAAAGCTGGAGCCGGCTCTTTTGATCCCTTTCTAGCCAGGTAGACATTAGCGTCTTGGCCCCTCCCAGGTGGGCATTTGGGTCTTGGCCTTTCCTGAGCCAGGGCTATTTCTGCCAGGTGCAGACCAGCACCCTCCAGCCATTTGGGTCCTGCAGGCTTTCCCCATCAAGGCATCTTTCACAGGTTTTTCCAGTGCTCTAGTGTGTCCTCTACCCTGCTCCCGCCCTCCCTTAAGCGCTCCAGAACGACCTCATTGTCTCAGGCTTAGCCTCTCCATAGCAGCTCATCGCCTGGGACTGGGGGTGGGGGGCCACCTCCCCAGACCCTCAAGACCTCACAGTACTCTGAAGCACTGTGGGCAGCCCATGGGCTCTAGAGAGGGGAAAAGGTAAGCCCCACGAATGGAGGGAACTCAGTGCTCTGGAAAAGAAACCCAGGCTGCTACAGAGGAAGATCTGTGCTGAGGGTGCGGCTGAGGAGTCAAGGTCTTGGACTTTGCATGTGGGTCAGTGTGCCTGGGGGTTGATGTGGGAGTGTCTTTGCTTCTAGATGTGGGCCTACCTGTGCCTATGAATGTATGCTTGTGTGTGTGTGTGTGGTGTACTTGTGGACAAGTGTGTTTATGGCCTATGAAGAGATGAGACATCTGCGTGTGGAGTTGGTTCTTAATGTTGCTGAGTCTTGAGCTTGTCAGTCTGCATATGTTCAGTTGAACTGTTTATTGAAGACTGTGCATTGGGTTAAAAATACAAACCAGACACTCCTTCTTCAGAAGTTCATAGTCTGGTGGGATATATGTGATTTTGTGTCTGAAAGCATGCCTGGATATGCATGGGGGTGTGTGGGGGGAGGCAGCTGGGGCAGTGGAACTTTGAAAATGGGAGCAAGGTCGGCCTAAGCTTGTCCACTGCTCAGATGGACATGGACTCATGTGGCTACAGCCAAGTTCCCACAAGATGTCCAGGGTAAGTGCCAGGGAAGCTCTGGGAAACCAGTCCTGCCACAGGGGCCCCTGGCCTGCCCTCCCTGCATGGTCCCAGCCCTCATAGAGCCCCGTGGGCAGATGCAGCTGCTGCCAACAGTCACCCTGATGAAGCACCTGGAACAGAGGACCGCTCCCGCTCCGCTCCCTGGGTGAACAAGCCTCAGCGGGCAGGCAGGAAAGGGCTGTGAGTCACTGTCAACGGAGCCTCCTGGGCTGGGGAGGACCGTGCTAGGGTGTGACAGCATGGCCCCAGGTGGGGAGGTGGATGGAGAGGTGGGTGGGTAGCTGGGGGCCAGCCTGCAGCCCATCCTTGGCATAGAGCAGAAATTCAAGTCCTCCAGCCCTGGGATGGGATGGGGGGCAGTGGTGAGCTGGCTGGCTGGGTGCCCTGGTCAGAGGCCTTGTCCTTTTCTCCCTGGACTGGCCTGGTGACCAGTGAGGCTGGGCCCGGCCTGTCTGCAGGGGGTGAGGGGTTGATCTAAGAGTGCCTGGGACTGAACAGCCAGTGGTTAATCATTTCCCTGCCTGGGCCTTGAGCCGCCCTCCTACTTCCAGTTGCTGCCCTGGGTTCTCCCGACACCTCTCTCTAGACCTTTGGGGCTGGAAGAGACCTGAGTTACCCCCCACAGTGACCATGCGGAAGGGGAGCTTAAGGCCTGCCCTGCTCAGGTTCAGGAGACTGGCCAAGGTCATGGGCATGCCCTCCCATCCCTCCTCTGTCCTCCCTTCCCTATCCCCAGCCCCCAAGATTTGCAAATTATGCTCCTTGAGCCCCAGGGTTCCACAAAATGCATCTGGGGCAGCCTTCTCACCCTCTCCCAGCTTTAAGCAGAGCAGCTGAGCCTTAATCTATTGTATAATGGGCTTCTGTCTGATTCAATTTGGGAAAATGGGTTCTACTGCTAAACATGACTTTTAACCACTTCACTTAAATCCCTGCCATCAGTTGCTGCAGAATAGATGGAAGTTAGACTTCAGGAAGAAAATTCCCAGGTGAGAGGTCAAAACAAGCTCCCTAGTGAGAAACAGGGCAAAATGTCCTTTAGAATTGTTTAAGAGAAAAAGAGGACCCCCATCTCCAAAGGATGGAGTTGAAGTCTGGAGTGGGGAGAAGGATAGCAGCATTACGTGGAGACACCGAGATGGATGTGTGTCCCCCAGTGAAGGCCAGGAGGTTGGGGAAAGGGTTGTTGAGAGGGAAGGAGTGGTAGGCAGCTGGCTGGTGCTGTGGCCTCAGCTAGTAGGAGCAGCGGAGCCTCCCCAGCTGTTGGGGCCTGCAGGTTTCACCCTGGGCCTTGCTCTGGGGTTTGAAGGTCAAGGTTGCATGGGCCATGGGGTTTCCCCAAACCTCTGCCCTCCCAGGCTTTGCCCTGGGCCCCAACCTGTCCTGGAGTGGGGAATACCACACCTTTAGATGCCCTCTTGGGCCTCTGTTCCCTCCCCTGAGGGTTCAGCTGTTAAGCTCACTCTGGGTTGGGCCGGTCCTCCCTGGGCATCCTTTTCTGGCACTTGGTATGGTGGTTAAGGGTAGGTGCTTTTGAGAGGCTGACCTATATTTAAATCTTGGTTTCTTGTTTTTATTAGCTGTGCAATCCTGGGACAGTTGACTCTTTTGAGCCTCAGTTTCTTTATATAGGAGATGGACAGAGTCTCGCTCTGTCACCCAGGCTGGGGTGCAGTGGCATGATCTCGGCTCACTACAACCTCTGCCTCCTGGGTTCTAAGTGATTCTCATGCCTCAGTCTTCTGAATGGCTGGGATTACAGGCGTGTGCCACCATACCCAGCTGTTTTTTTTTTCTATTTTTAATAGAGATGGGGTTTCACCATGTTGGCCAGGCTGGTCTTGAACTCCTGGCCTCAAGTGATCTGCCCGCCTTGGCCTCCTGAAGTGCTGGGATTACAGGTGTGAGCCACCACACCCAGTGGTTGTTGTAAAGATGAATGCCAGGGGTATTAGAACAGTGACTGGTGTTAGAGTAAGCACTTCCACGAGTGTGCTCACTTCCCCCCTTATTCCTTTAGTTATGGATTTATTCGTATTCACCATGTTCAACAAGTGCCCAACACTGTTTTGAGCCCTCAATTTTTTATTTATTACTGGGGTTTCAACAACTGTACCCACTGAGTCCCCTCCTGGGGACTGGCCTTTGCCCTTCCCTCCCTCCTCATAATTTGTGCTTATCCGAGATAACATTTCTCCCCAGGGTGGGGTGGTGCTGCTGTAGGGACTCCTGTTTTGCCAGATGTCAGGGTTGAAGGCAGCCCCATGATTGCCAAGCAGCAGGGATGGTGGCCATGTCACCTTGGGTGAGCTGTGGGGTCTTAGTGTAAAGCTTGGGGACACTCAAGGATCCCTGGGTTCTGAGTCCTGCAGCTCAGCCCTGGAGACCCCCCAGGAGACCAGGCCCTGAGTGCTCATGCACCATCCAGGGCCCCACAGGAGGATAAACAAATTGGCCACTTCCCCAAGGGCTGAGGGTGGCATGTGGGAGCTGGGTGGCTCAAGACCTAGGAATCCTGGAGGCTCCAGCTCAGCCAGCTGTGGGTGTGGTCAGGGGAGAGGCGTTCTGGGCTTTGTGGGTCACTTTCCCCAGTGTTTGGATCCCTCGGCTTTGGAGGGCAAGAGCTGTTTCCAGGCTGTGGACAAGGTGCATCCAGGGGAGGGAGCTGGAGATGTGGCCTCATATGTAAGCCAGCCGAAGTTGGCGTTTCTAAGTCTGAATAAGAAAACTGAGGAGACGTGGGACTTTGGAACCCGCCTCATAAGAGAGCATCTGTTTGTGTGTAGTGAATGAAGGATGAATGAATGATGAATGTTCAATCTACAAATACCCAGAGCTCACGGGAGTCATGCAGAGGCCCAGGGGAATCTTGTTTAAGTTCCGTGGCCAAGGTCATAGGGGGAAAGTTTGATGTGGGCTCCTCTCCATCTCCCCTGAGGAAGTAGAGGTGTGACTGATGGAGGAGGGATTGAGGTTCTCACCAGGAAGAGCTGCCCTGCTGGCAGAATTGGGAGGGTCTGGAAGGTTCTCCTCCAAAGGCACCTCCTTTCCCCTTGGGGTGATGGGCAGGCACTCACCTTCCCTGGGCAGACAGCCGGGCAGATTGCCTTTGGGGGAGGAGTGGGCTTTGTTTCCCCTTTGTGTGCCTTGGCATCCAGGAAGAGGTTTTGTAATTTCTAGGGAGGAGGAGAGCCCAGCACTCCTGAAATTGACACTTACTTGTTCTTCCACATTTGTCAGCACCTGCTGGGTGCCAGGCGCCGTGCTGGGCACTAGACATGAAAGACACCCTATCCTGCGGTTGTTTCTCTCACTGCAGGACAACTCAGTTGCTCTTTTCTTATATAAAGACGTGGGTCTCGCTTCATTGCCCAAGCTGGTCTCAAACTCCTGGGTTCAAATAATCCTCCCACCTTGGCCTCCCGAAATGCTGGGATTACAGGCATGAGCCACCATGCCCAGCCAGTCACACTCTTTTCAACCCTCTCAGACCTTCTCCACTCCCTCCTTTGTTTGCTCATCAAAAAAAAAAAAAAAAAAAAAAAAAAAAAAAAAAACTTAAGATCTGTACATTTATGTAAATTATACCTTAAAGCATTCTTTGAGCCCACATCCTCCTCTAGCTACTGTCCACACCCCCCCTTTTTGTTTAGATGGAATCTTGCTCTGTTGTCCAGGCTGGAGTGCAGCAGCATGATCTTAGCTCACTGCAACCTCTATCTCCTGGGTTCTAGCCATTTTCCTGCTTCAGCCTCCTGAGAAGCTGGGATTACAGGTGCCTGCCACCATGCCTGGCTAATTTTTGTATTTTCAGTAGAGACAGGGTTTCGCCATATTGGCCAGGCAGGTCTCGAACTCCTGACCTCAGGTGATCCACCTGCCTAAGCCTCTCAAAGTGCTAGGATTACAGGCGTGAGCCACTGTGCCCGGCCACTACTGTCCCATGCTATTTGCTTCTCAAAAGAGTTGTTGCTACTCACTAATTCCTTTTTTGGTTTCCATTTACCCCCGCCAGCCTGCTCAGACTCTGGCACAGTCCTGGGATCTGCTTTTCCTGTGGTACCTGGTGCCTCTGTGCTCACAATTCCGTCCTGGTCTCGTTCCCCTCGCAGCAGCATCTGACTGAGGCCTTCACTCCCCTGTTCATGCCAACGCCCTCCTCTGGTTTCCTTTGAGCTCCCTGGCTGCAGCGTCTTGATCTTTGCTTTTCACTGGTGTCTTCTCCCTTGGAACAAACCAGAAGCACAGCTCTTCATCTCCTCCTTGTCCCTCCCCACTACCACCCAACAGCCCACCGCACTCCTCCTTCCCCTAGTCTTTCTTATGTTATTAATGGCAGCTCCAGAAATAACTCGGGCCCAAAATCTAGCAGTTCTTGATTTTTCTCTTTTCCTCCCCCTCCTCCCACCCAACATCCAATCCAACAGCCAACCCTGGTGGCTGTATCTTCAGAACATGTCCCAAATCTGTCACTTTTCCCCCATGTTTTCTGTCATCACCCCAGTTCAAGCCACTATAGTTCTAGTTCTCGCCTATGGGATTGCAGGTGCCTTCTGACCCCTGTTTCCTCTCTCGCCTAACCTTTTCAATTTTTTTTTTTCATACAGCAGCCAGAGAGATTAAAAATACAGCGATTCCATCATGTTGTTTCTTTGTGTACCACTCTCCAGGGCTCTCCAGCACACCTGGAATAAAACCCAAGTCCTTTTCCTGTTCTTCAAGGCCCTCTGCTTTGGCCTTGCCTCCCTCTCCAAATTCCCTGAGGGCCACTCTGGCCCTGGCTTCCCATCTTCCCCTGAATACCCAGCTCCTCACATGTGGGCTCTGCACTGGCTGGATCCTCCTTCTGGAACACTGGCTGCCAGATCCAGCTCTGCTGCCTACTTCTCATGAACCAGGCCTCTCCTAGGGGGCTTCCCCATCCAGCCACCTTCTCTCATGTTACTTACTTTGTTCCCTTGTCCTAGTGACACTTAGCTGGTGTCATTTTGTTCATGGGCTCCTTTCCTTGTTCATGGTCTGACTCCCCCATGCTGGAAATGTGCTCCGTCAAGGGGAAGACCCTGTTGGTCTCATTCCTGGCTGTTCCCAGCCCCTAGAATCATGCCTGGCACATAGTAGGTCCTCAAAAGTAATTTTTCATGAATATTGGCTCAATCCAGGGGATGCTGGACCTAGAAAAAAATCGGAGCAGTCATGTGGTTCATTTTCTCATTTTAGGAGGGAAAACAGAGGAAGAGAAAAGGAAGTGACTTGCCCAAGGGCAGGAGGACTAGAAACCAGATCACCTGACCTTGCCTTACCAAAGTCTCCCTGCAGAGGAGAGAGGCTCAGTGGGAACTAGGGCTGGGCAGCAGGAGAGGCTGGGACAGCAAAAGGTAGAGAGTTTGGCATCTGGCAGTGGCAAGGGGAGGCCTTGCAGTCGTTGCTATAACTCTGGGAGGCAAGACAGAGGCCTTTTCTAGAACCTTTTAACCTGATTTGCAGACAATGCAGGGGGAGCCACAGGGAGGTGCCGGGAAGGGCTCCTCCATCTGACTTTCACAGCCTGGTGCTTCCCTGCTCACACCCTGTCCTGTCTCCCAGAGTGAAACTCAGCTTCCCACCCCCAGCAAACCCTGAATCCTGGTACCTTCCCTCTGCTTGGACTGCCAGCCCCACCCCATCGAAAGCCTGTTTGTTCACTGAGATGCAGCCCAGGTTCATCTCTTCCATGAGCCTTTTCTGATAACCTTGGCCTATAGCATTTGTTCTCTCACTGTGCAGAACAACTTCTGCACTTTGGTTGGGGGAGTTATTGGTGGACACACTTCTCTTTTTCACTGGTTTGTCAATATCTCCAGGGCAGAGACCCTGCCATGTTCTGTGACCCCCACACAGTTCCTGACATGGTGCTGGCCTGTCACAGTCACTCAGTTTTCATTTGCTCTTCGGTTGGATTGGAAGGGGTGGGTTGGATGGAAGATGGGCTGGTGGGAGGTGGTAGGTAGGGCAGGTGGATAAAGATGGTGGAAACAGGTGGGTGGCTGAGTACGTGGGTGTGTGGGCTAGTAGTAGATGGATAGACTGGTGGGGTTGGCTGACTGACTGTAGAATGCCTGCTTGGCCCCATGAATGAAGAATGACTGGGGCAGGAACCAAAAGTAGGGTGTGGGATCCCCTTGCTCCCCGGAGAAGTGAAAGTTGTCTGGATTTTCATCCAACTCTGTGGAGCTCCGTGGCTCAACTCTTTCCATGAAGCTCTTTCCATCTGATAGGTGAGGGAGGCTCCAGGAGCCCCTGGGAAAGTGAAGGGAAGGCGATATTGGAGTTTTTTCCAGGTGTAAGTGGTTTTGTAAGTCTTCCCTTCCCAAACGCTAAGAAATTCCATGGGGAACTGAGTAACTGAGGAAATACCTCCATGACTGTCCACTGATGGGTATTACCTAAGAATCCTAGGACCAAAAAGAGAAAGGCACTTGGCAAGTCCATCTGTTTCCTTCAGGCAGGACCAGGCCCGCCCTTCCACATTCCTGGTCACCCCCAGGGACGGAGGCGCCCCATTCTCATCCTTGGGTCCAGAGTACAGTTCAACCCAGTGGTTCCTATCTGGGGTGACTTTGCCCCCCAGGGGACATTTGGCAATGTCAGGAAACACTTTGGTTGTCCCAGCTGGGGAATGTACTACTGGCACCCAGCAGGTAGAGGCTAGGGATGCTGCTAAACATCCTGTGATCCAGAACAGCCCCCGACATGGAATTGTCTGGTCAAAGTGTCAACATTGCTGAGCTGGAGAAACCCCGGTCTAATCCAAAGCCCTGCAGCTTTAGTAGGAATTTAATAGATGTATAATTTGAACTACATTTAAAATGTTAAGTTTTTTTTAAGGTGGAGTTTCACTCTTGCCCAGGCTGGAGTGCAATGGCACTATCTTGGCTCACTGCAACCTCTACCTCCCAGGTTCAAGTGATTCTCTGGCCTCAGCCTCCTGAGTAGCTGGGATTACAGGCATGCGCCACCACGCCCAGCTAATTTTTTTTGTTTTGTTTTGTATTTAGTAGAGACAGGGTTTCACCAAGTCTTGATCTCAGATGACCCACCCTCCTCAGCCTCCCAAAGTGCTGGGATTACAGGTGTGAGCCACTGCGCCTGGCCTAAAATGTTAAGTTTTTGAGTAGTCATGTTAAAGAAAAGTAAAAAGGAGCCCAGCGCAGTGGCTCATGCCTGTAATCCCAGCACTTTGGGAGGCCAAGGTAGGAGGATTGCTTGAGCCCAGGAGTCTAGGACCAGCCTGAGCAACATTGTGAGACCTCATTTCTATAAAAAATTTAAAAATTAACCAGGTGTAGTAATGCACACCTGTAGTCCCAGCTACTCGGGAGGCTGAGGTGGGAGGATCACTTGAGACCAGGAGGTTGGGGCTGCAGTGAGCTGTGATCGCGCCGCTGCCCTCCAATCTGAGCAACAGAGCGAGACGCTGTTTCAAAAAAAAAAAAGGGAAAAACAAAATTAATTTTAATACTATAGCTCATTTACCCCAGTATATCCACAATATTGCCATTTCAACACACAATCAATATACACAATTTTTTCTTCCTTTTTTTTTCCTCCCTATTTCGAGACAGTGTTGTTGTGTCACCCAGGCTGGAGTGCAGTGACACAATCTCGGCTCACTGCAACCTCTGCCTTCTGGGTTCAGGTGATTCTCATGCCTCAGCCTCCTCAGTAGCTAGGACTACAGGTGTGCGCCACCATGCCCGGCTATTTTTTTTGTGTGTGTGTGTGTGTGTGTTTTTAGTAGAGATGGGTTTTTGCCATGTTGCCCAAACTGGTCTCGAACTCCTGAGCTTAGGCAGTCCCCCTGTCTCAGCCTCCCAAAGTGCTAGGATCACAGGCATGAGTCACCGTGCCTGGCCAATGTACACAGTTCTTAATGAGACCTTTTTCTGGTCTTCAAGACCCAGCGTGCATTTCACACAGCATGTCTCGGTTCACACCAGCCACGTTTCAAGCGCTTCTGAGCCACTTGTAGCCAGTACAGGCCTAGAGGGCATTTGGTCTCTTCTCCCAGTCCTACAGGAGCCTGCCTCAGGAGGGTCCTGGGTTTCCCCAGCTGTGCTGACCCTCTCCTCCCCTCCCCCAGCCTTGCCCGGCAGTGGACTCTGGAGGATGAGGAGGAGCAGGAGCGTGAGCGCAGGCGGCGGCACCGCAACCTGAGCTCCACGACGGATGATGAGGCTCCCAGGCTCAGCCAGAATGGGGACCGGCAGACCTCTGCTTCTGAGAGGTAGGTGCTCAGGTTTCTATCCTGATTGATGGGGATGGACTGGCTGCCTCGGACTAAGTGCAGCATGTTCCGTCTGCTCAGGGAGTTGGGGTCCAGGAAATGAGGCTGAAGGGTGTGATGATGAACTTCAAGTTTCCCACCTTCCCCAGGCTCAGTCCTGCCAGCTTCTGTCCTCTTCATAACAATGCTTGCTACTTTTTGTTGACCATCCATGAGCCAATACTGTGCTGGACATTTTATGGCCATAGCTCATGTAATTCTCACAATATCCCTGGGAGAGAGGTATTGTTATCCCATTTTACAGGTGGAGAAACAGCTGAGATCTTGCTGAGATCAGGTACCTTAAGAGTGGCAGGGCCAGAATGTCCATCCAGATTTGTCAAGCTCCCACCTCCTTCCATTATTCAGGCTGCCTCCCTCTAACCCTGACCCTCTATAATTTAATTTACTAATTCTTTTTTTTTTATTTAATTTTTTTTTTTTTTTGAGAGTAAGTCTTGCTCTGTTGCTAGGCTGGAGTGCAGTGGTACGATCTCGGCTCACTGCAACCTCCGCCTCCCTGGTTCAAGCAGTTATCCTGCCTCAGCCTCCCCAGTAGCTGGGACTACAGGCGTGCACCACCATGCCCAGCTAATTTTTGTATTTTTAGTAGAAATGGGGTTTCACCATGTTGGCCAGGATGGTCTCGATCTCTTGACCTCATGATCCGCCC